TGCATTAATTTAGCAGATTTGTGTTAAATCATATCCTGAATTGAATTTCAAATTTTCCATATGTGCGTTTTAAAAAAGTGATCTCGAATAGTGGAAAGAGGACTAGAGACTTAGGTTTTAGTGTTGGCTCTGTCACTGCCACTAACTAAAAGTGTGACCTTGGTCAAGTGTGTTCATGTCCAGTGGGCCTCAGTTTCCTCGTCTGCAAAATTAAAGGGTTGGAATAAATGACCTATAAGCTTCCGTTAGGATCTATGGCCCTATCACCCTATTCTGCCAGTTGAACAGTGCTTTCGTAAAAGTCATGTGAAATTCTCCTTTAAAATGGTCAGATTCCAGATTTGTTTTTCTCATTTTCCTCAGTACTGTTGATGGTGACCTACCCTACTGAAAAGAACCAAGGTACTAAAAGATGAAACAATTAAGTTGTACTTCCATGCCATACTTTCCAAACAATTTCATGTTCCTATTTTACAGATATAGAAACTTTGGCACAAAGATGTTGAAATTGCTTGTCCAAGGTTGTGTGAGTCAGTGCTAGAACTGGGAAGAGAGTTACGGCTTCATCATTTGCTCTGCTTCTTCTAGCTTTTGGTTCATGCTCTGCCACCTATCTTGAAACACCTTTTTCAACACCAGTGACTGTTCACCAGTGAACACCAGACTGACTGTTCACATTTATAATGTTAATATTACTGTCTGTAATCTCCTCTTTCTGGAAACAGTTTCCTTGATAATTGGCTTTCATTACTAGCTGATTTATATTCTTGATACCTGTATTATTTTCTTATCACTAATTTCTTTTCTTACACACACACAAACATCACATATCTATACACAAACATCTATAGAAAGTAAACAATACAGAGATGTATTTTTTTTCCAACACTAACCCCAAGAACTTGGAAATTACTTTGTTTTTTTGCTGATCCTTTCCCTCCATTTGGCAAGCATTTCATGTCATTGTTTTTGAAGTGCTGCAGTAGGAAAAAAAAATGGCTGCCTTTTGTTTATTTCCCTGTACATTAGCATGATGACATCATCAGTGATATTAGCCAGAATGTATATGTCTTTAGGAACTCAGATATACTATTAAGTTTGCAATATGTTTTTTTTTTTTCAAATAATGCTTACAGGGTTTTGTAACAGCTTTAGCATTGGGTAGACAAAAAAAATGTATATAAATATTTTGGCGAGAGAGCACACACACACACACACACACACACACACATACACAATTAGTGGCATTTAAAAATATTTTCAAATACTTTTTCTCAGCGTCAGGAGGAAAACACCCCAAACAAATTGAAGGGGTTATAAAGCATAGGCATTGTAATATTAATTGTATTCTTTAGTGATAATAGTGTAAACAAAGTTGATGAGGTGTTGTTACTACAGACTATTTTGTTAATACCCCTTGACTATTCTATATGTTGAAAAAAATTAAAAATCGGGATGATACCTGAAATCTTGTGAGCAAATTGGACATAATTTCCCAGAAAACAATTTAGAGTTAATCAGAAGGTCTAATCCTAAGGTCTAAACAAGTTGAGATCACTCTTTTTCTGGATTAATTATTGCATGCTTTACAAACACTCCTACAAATATATGTTAAAGGACCGACTCTTTTTTACTTAACTAAACAGAGAGGTAATTTGTTCTTTGATCCTGAATCATGATGTTGGCTGGGTTTTTATTCTCATTAGGAAGCAGAGGTTCCAGCTTTTGTTGCACTTCAGCTTGTGTTTGTCACATGATTTTTGCTGAGCTTAATAAGCAACAAGCTGTCAATTACTGATTCAATTTAGGGAGATTTTGAAAGGGATAAGGAATGGTTTTGTTATTTGTTTATTAATATTTTTGTTGAGTGCAATGGGACCAAATAAACCGTATTTTGGTTTGGTGTCTCCATTTTTCAAAATCGTGGAAACAACTAGACTTTAATTAACCCTTTATGGGCTTAGAAAGACAATTTGATGTTAATTTAATATTTATGAAGCACTAGGTTTCTGTAAATATTGGGTAATCATCATGAAAACCACTTGTTAAAATTGAAATCAGATAAGGAGTACCATATGCTTTGTAGAGGTAGAAAATAGACAGTCTGAAATAAATCACTGTAGTTTTAAGAATTGATATTAACCATGTGTCAGATCATTAAATGAGGTTTTCTTTTAAAATTCAATCATTCTTCAGGGGATTGCCTTTTTTTTGGAGACCTTAGCTTATTGGTTAATCATATAATTCTTATATTCATTTATAAAAATAAGCATAGTATCACCTGTTTTCTCAAAAGTAGTATATAAGGTGTATGTGTGTGAATACAATAGATATGCAAATACATAATTTCTTGGTTAATGAAGATTTTCATTAAGGAGATTTTTATGGAAAACATTTTTAGAAAGCTTAGCATCTTACAAAAATAAATACTAGTAGTCCCTTTAAGAGTGAAAGCAACATTAGCAACATTCCTTCATTGCATTAATATAGAAGTGCTTTTAGAAGGCAGGAAACACTATAGTGCATTATGACAGCCCCCCCATCCCCCGCCTTAACTATTATGAAGGCTCTTATTAAAATAAAATCTAGTTAACTTCTTTTGAATTCCAGCTGAAACGTTTTCTATAATAATAAAAAAAAATGTTGTGAAGGGATTTCCATAATTTGTGCTGCATTAATGACTTAAAGCAGCTTCATAATTTGTTATTCCCTCCTCATAGTAGACCTCAGCTGATAAAAATATCCATAGACACAGTGAAATCAGTGGCATGCCTAGTTCTCTCAGACAAAACTCCCATGTGATCACATGTAGGCAGACTCAGTGAGACTGAAGCTGTTCAGCAAGCAGTAGGTAATGAGTCTTTGTGCAGAGTGAAGCTCTTGTCCCTGAACAATAAAGCATATGGTACCAGCAATAAAACACAGTGCTGGGAAATTTAAGAAGATTCCGCTGGAACCAGGAAGACACAGTGTCTTCGGTGATGATGGCACATGTTATAAAATGATAGTCAATGTATTTTGGACTCTAATTAATAAACAGTGCATGGACTAAGACTACTACAATTTGAACAGGTCAGTTATTTTATAGATTGCTCAAACACTTTTTTTGCTTGATTGAATTTAAATGAGGATAGTGTTGTGTGTTGTTTCTTTAAAAAAAAACTTTGCATGTAAGGTATTTGCAGCATATAGGCTGACTGATGCACATGAATTGATCCAACACTGGATAAATTGTTGATGTAATCGGATTTGTTAGAAAAAATATGTAGAAAAAAAGTGTGTGTGTGTGTGTGTGTGTGTGTGTGAGAGAGAGAGAGAGTGAGAGAGATTATTATTCTATACCCCACAAAGTTATTTAAGGTATCACAAATTTAGAAGGTGAATACAAATGAAATCCATGTGTGAAAGCAATAGCATAAAATGATAGCAATATAGAGATCAAATAAAAGGCTTCAAATTAATTTTACCCCTGGAGTTAAATACACATATGTATATAATGTATGTTTTATATATATATTGCTAATATATATACACTATAAGTATTATATAGATATATAACATATACATATAAACACACATTTTGGTGCCGTTAGTTTAGATTTCTAAGGAATCAGATGCTGTATAGATCAAAGATTACATATTTTTAGTGTTTTTCTTCAATAGGATATTTGATTTTTAAAATAATAAATATTTTGCATGTAAAACTAAGGCATTATTTTGAAAATGTTAGGATCCCAACTGCCTATTAGAGCAATATGTTTGCCATTTATAGCTTTTAATTGTGTTAATTTCAGTTATACATTTTTTGTCATTTACTAAATCTTTTAATAATGTGGGAATAATTATAAAACCTTGCTTCACATAAATTGCTCCACATCTTCAAACAAATTAGCTTAATTTAAAGGGAGAAATGATTTAATTATGTGAGAAAGGTATTTTTCCATTGATTCACCATTAAGAAGGGCAAAATGCATTTATGAACACACTTTTGCACATGAGCATCTATATTTGGAATATAACCACATTTCTTATTTCCTCGGTCTCTTAGCATCTGAGAAGTTCAGTGTTTGAAACGGGAGGGTTGCCGCCTGTAGGAAGGGGAGACACAGTGGAAAATAAAATAGTCTTAATCATATTTCCAAAAACAGATAAACATCTTCATTTTTGTCCCAAGAATTTTATTATGTAAGCAATAATTTAACTTAACATTGCATCTTCATTAGTATATAATTTCAACAAATATCATAGGGTTCTAATTGTTTTATTTTATTTTCATTCGCTTTTTTTTTGCTCTAGAAATTATTTGCATGCTACACATATTAGGTTGATATTATCCTCCACACTGAAGCACATATTTTGCATGTTTGCATATTATAGCTGCTCGTGATATTTGCACAGTAACTGATAGTCATTTATTCCAGTAAATGTGAAAGGAAGCAGAATGAAGCCAGGTCTTTTAAAATAAAAACACAAGAGAAATCCTTCATGTACAATATTATTTCTGTCCACAGTGCTGTTCATTTTTTAGAGGAAAAAAATTAGCTACTTTCATTTCCAAAAAAACAGAGAAGTTGATGAGAATTTTAAATCGACCTAACCCATGTATTTAAATGAAGTATTTGACTATTTTGGTTTCCTTGGAAACCACAGCTGCTACAGCTAGACTTTGTTTGGGGGTGATCCTAGGGGGTCTGAAAATAAAGAATTTAAAAACGTTTATCCCTTAATCAACATTAGGGGAAAGCATGATTTTTGACAGCCCAATAAAATAAATGGGCGCCCATTTTTTTTCCTATAGGCTCTCCAGTGATTCAGGTATTCTGGCTGAACCGCAGCTCTACAATTTCTTACCCAGCATTCCATTTCAGCTCCTGGCAGGCCTTCCCCAGCCTTATGCAAATGAGAGCAGCACACTAGCTTTGACTGCAGAAGGGGAGGGAGACAGAAATGAGTTCAAAGGTCACAGGGCTGGTAGAAGGCTGGAACAGTTGAATGAAAAAATGAAAAAAAAAAAGTAGTCGGTTTTGCAGCAATCTTTAGCAGGCGGGAAAGGAGTTAAATGAAGTGGTCTTGGCTGCTCGGAGTGAAGATTGCCCAGGACCTATGCAGGAGTAGAAACGTGAACACAGGTATAGTGAGGCATTACTGCACACGGTGCCTGGTTTTATTTCTGTGATAGGCATGGCAAGGGTTTGCATGGGAGCAGCCACACTTTTCATTTGTCTCAGAAGCTGTTTGGGAGTCGTAGAATTTCTGCTGTAACGGAATTGTTTTAGTCTCAAATGCACATAAACCGTTTTCTGGCTTTTGTAATTAGAAACACAATGGCTTGAGCTCTTGAATGACATTTTGTCCGGATGTAGCTGTTTGAATGGGAAAATTAAATCGGGTTTTCAGCCTCACTAATGTCACTTTTCAAAAACCCCCAGGTTTGGTACTTTGTAACAGGAACAGGTAGGTAAAGATCCCAACCCTGTTACTCTAGCTCTTAGAAGATGTTTTAGAATTTTTTTAAAAAATGTTCCTCTTGACCAAGATTTTTGTTGATTTGATCAGGGTTATTTGATGGAGTTTCTTCTCATTTAGGTACTGGGGAAAAAAGTTAAGTACCGCTAAAATTGAGATTTTGGTATTGAAAGGTTTTTTTTTTTTAATTTCGTATTTGGTTGTTTAAAAATTCTATGTGTCTTTCTTTTGGTTTTCTGATTCTTTCTAGTTTTCTTGACTAATTTAAAACATGTGTTATTATGAGCTCAACATGTTAAACTTCCTGTGATTCTTCCTTCTCAGTTAAAATATCTGCTTAGATTGCAAAGTGATTATAACCCATGATAAATGCTATAGGTCACTGGACTGTCTTTATCAGTGTGTTTAAGTATAATAGCCTTATAGGCATGTATTTCACAATGAGACTGACCGGACGCCTAGATGTGTGTGTGTGTGTGTGTGTGTCTGTGTGAGTGATCATGAGAGCATTTTAGGAATTTCCCTCAATTTTAAAGTATGTAACTTAATAAGCTTTTTTCTACACATAGTGATCTAAGTACAGTTACTATGTCAGTATAAATTGAGACCATATGAGGCTATCAGTGATAATATTTGGCAATAGAAAATAGTGTTCTCACTTCTGTCAGTTTGCTTCTGTTTGTAACAGTTGCTGGGGGTGGGAGATGGATTTATTGCACAAAAGTGAAGTAGCAAAAATAATGTCTAGTCATGAAATGATTGCCATTTGCTTTTTTATTTGTATAAGATATTTAAAGATGTTTTGTATGCAGAGAACAAATGTATGTTTATGTAAATTTAATTATCTTCCACATAGAAAAGAGAGAGTTAATTTCACCGTAATGATTGAGACCCAGTAATTTGGAGTGTGTGTGTATGTATGTGTGTGTGTTTTAAATAAATAGGAACAAACAGAAGGGCATCATTTAAAGTTGTGAAGGACAATTATGTCAAATGTTTATGGAGCACAGTGTGGGGTGGTCAGTCAGGGCTAGATTCTCATTCTTTATCATTCTGCTGGGGCATTGTGACATTTTCTTTTTCAGGATCCTAGTACTGGCTTAAAGAAGCATTTAATTTCATATCTTGTGTGATGCGAAAACAAACAGTAACATTGCCATTTTCTTCTTACACATTTTCTCTCTTTGTAAACTTCCTACAATAATTAGGTTAAAAGTGAATGTACTCTAATGATCTTTTGAGTTTTTCCTGTATTGGACGGACAATGAAATCTTGTCAAAATTTCGAAGTTGTTTGAAATGCGCCTAAAATCACAATAATGTCTAATCAAGCAAGAAATTGTATTCTGGGTTTTTATTTGTTTAAGTTATAGTCCATATCTAAAGACTTCATGTCATTGTTTTAGGCACTTGATTTTTTTAAGATGTAGCTACTTCGAATAATCAAAAAATAATTTTATTCTATGTGGAGCATAAACATCTGTAACTCTACTGATGCATTTAGTTTCTACCTGCCTTTGTGCCTGTATGCCTCTGGGGGTGGGATGTGTGGGAGGACTGTGAATGAATGTGAATACAAATTCACTTAGGCTGTCCCGTTCCATTAGCCATGTAAATGGAATTGCCACCACTTTAAACTCCCCAATAAATAATGAAAACACTGTGGGGTGGGAGTGGGGGGGGTTGGGGGGGAGGCAGGAACTCATTGTGATTCTTGAGAAAATGTGATATTAGATCTACCTTGTCACCTATCACCTATCTATCATCTATCTACCATCTGTATCATTTATATCTGTATCTATCTATCTATCTGAAACTGTTAAGGTGTCATGAATGACAGGAAGTCTGTATATACAAGTGCAAATTTCTTGCCTGAAAATCCTGGGCAATTTGCTTCTCAATGCAAATTCCTTCTAAACCTTGGATTTTTTCTGCATTGCATAAAGCCATAATTTGTATAGAGGGAGTGGTCTGAGGAAGTGGGGTGCTGAATCTGTCCATTGGTATAGGGAGCCCTCAATGAGGAAACTCCCTCCATCAGTGCAGACTAGCTACTGTTCTGAGACTAATAATCTCAGAGTTGCATGAGGGGTTGAGTGATTTGCCCAAGGTGCCACCACCAATATGTTTGAGTGGCAAAACTTGAATCCAAGTCTTATGACTCCTGAGACATGCTTTCTATTCAGCTCTCCACCCTACTAGTATACAAATCATTTCTATGAGCAATAAATTCATAGCCCAGTTATCTAAACTTAAATGGGTAATGTGGGTGGTATAGATAAAACCACAGTGCCTTGCACATAGTAAGCATATGAAAGTATTTACTGACCGTTAATAGTTAAATTTCTAAAATTCAGCTTTTATCTCTTTAAAATTATACCTTATTTTCATTTGGACATCTGTTTAAGGATTATAGCAATATAGATTTAGAGCTGGGAGAATCCCCAGGGGTTATCTAGTTCTTATTACCTTAAAAATGGAGGTTTTGGTTTTTTTTTCGTTTTTTTTTTTTCCCCAAACACTATGTGGGGTTGTTTTCAACTATGCAGTTTGATTACAAGAGATTCTTCTCATATAAACCTTCTATTTTATGCAACTGTTACACTTGAGGAACAGACAGCAGATCATACGAAGTGGGGCAGGTATAATATATTCAAAGATAACTTGTCTTACTATCTGACTACCTGTCTGTCTTTGCCATCATTTGAAACTAGTTACTCTGTCATAGCCTTGGAAAAAAGTAGAACCATAAAGGTGACACTCACTCAGCCTAACATTAGGTGACATAGCCTAACCTACAACCCACTAATTCCCTTCTCAGAGTCTGTGTAAAATATTATTTTCCATCTGAGTATTTTTTCTGAATAGATAACTGGTACCTACAAAATCTAGGGGTGGGGGGGAAGAACAGGAAAAAAAATTAATCAAATGCCAAATTCAATGCTAAAAATGTGACTTCTGAACCTATACTATCCCATAACAAATTTATCCATCTCGTCCTTCAAAAAAATAATTTAATCAGACTACACTGTAAAAGCGTAATGGTGGAAGACTGACAAAGTAGATTCTGTGTATTTTCTTTATTTGCAGGGGACTAATTCTTCCAGTTCTCTCCCTCCTCAAAGCAAAGCTTGTTTCTGTGCCCTTGCTTTTCAGTTTTCTATCATTTCATATCAGTTTTACCCAAGGGGCTATGCAGAATGAAAAGGAGGTAAAGAAATGTAGGTCAGCATATACTTTTGGTGGAAAATATGCCAAATCCAAGCTTTATATTATCCAAAGGAAGGCCTAAAAGTAGTATTTATTGTATGTACAGTGTGCATTTTAACTATAACAAAAGTATTAATTTATGTAGCAGTTTAAGATGTACAAAAGACTTTCCTTACAATAGCCCTGTGAGATGGATAGTTTAAATATTATTGTCCTCATTTTACAGATGAGAAAACTGAGATGAAGGATTATACAGTAAATGTTAGCGACAAGCTTCAAAACCAAGTCATTTGTGACTACAAGTTCAATGTTCTTTCCACTGATAGCATACTACTTCTTTAATAATGAGCTATGTATTTATGCTAGTGCACATTTGGAAGATCCACATGTTGAAGATGTAATAAAATTGGCCGTATTTTTTAATATGGTCCCATCATACTTATCGAAAGATAAATAAGTGTGTTAAATGAGTTTTAGCCTGTTGAGATATGCAAGTTTATTAATATTTTAAGATATCTGTTCATATAGTATTTCCACCAATGTAGATCATAACTTTACATTCCCTGGTAACCCCAAGACATGAATTACCAGTGGCCTTAGCATCTTTTTCTACTTAGCCGTGACAATAAGCAAAGAGCTTATAATTGGCCTCATATTTAGAGTCTTTCCAAAATGTTCTTTATTGGCATAGCCTGTAAGAATTTAGGACAAAGCCATGATGAGGCAAAGAAAAGGAGGACATTAGTGGATTGTAACTTCCAAGAAATGATAAAATTCATTTTGAATGAATTTACCAGATCACTAAAGATTATGACTTTTAAACACTTAATTTTTAAAAAATTTGAGCATTTTAATGTTTTTGAAAATTTGCAAATATTATTCCATGTATTTTTGAACACAGAATACTGACCAAAGTTTAAACTTTTCTTGATGGCTGAGCTATCATTTTGAACATCAGTTATTATACTGTGCAATAATACACTTATACCTTTATGGGGCTATTGAGATAGATAGGGATTTTTGGCCTTACATTAAATGGCCTAGGACTACTTTTTATTCTTTCTCCTCCCCACCTGTCTAGTTGATATTGTCATTTCTGATATTTTTAGTACCCCTAGAACCCCATTTTGTTTTTTTCTAGTCTAGTATCATCTGGAAAACTAGATGTAAAACACATTTTACACAGAAATCTAAGTTAGGAAGTCATTGGAGTAGAGCCTTAATTTGGCTCTCTGTCTTTTAGAGAAAAAAATGGCTTTTTAAATGACAATTTTCTCAACCTTTTTGGCTTACTTCTGATTCCTGGATGCTTGATGAATCAACGAGGTTGCCAAGAGCCTGCCTATTGAATAAGTGAGACATTATTGTATGTACAGATTTGAAAATTTATCATGTTATACTTCTAGTGTAAGGGTCAGCAACCTCAAGTCACTTTTGTCCCAAAGATAAAGAAT